CAGCGATCCTAAACTTGCAGGGAGAAGAGTTCGGCTCAAAAGTGATGAACTTTTTAGAGAGGGAGAACGAGAAAAGGCTAGAGCTTTGAATAATGAAGAATTTTTAAAAGAGAAGAGGGGGTATTTATATGAGGCTTCTAGAAGAGTAGTGGGCTGGCCTTTAAAGGCCCAAGCCCAAGGACTTATACATTTCCTTAATTTAAGACCCAAAAATTTAACATAACCAAAATGTCCAAGTCTGGAACAAGACCATCTGCCGTACTGAAATGATCAAGTATGGGCAACCAGCGCTTCAGAAAGAAGACAACAGAGCCTCTGCGAAGAAAAGACGCCAGAGCTTCTGTGAGGAGACACAGAGCTTCTGCAAAGATATGCCAGAGCCTCTGTGAAGAGACACAGAGTCTCTGTGAAGAGTTGCCGGAGCCTCTATGAAAAGACACAGTCTCTGAGAAGAGTTGCCGGAGCCTCTGTGAAAAGACACAGAGTCTCTGTGAAGAGTTGCCAGAGTCTCTGAGAAAAGACAACAGAGCCTTTGTAGATAGTACCAGAGCCTCTGTGTCTGTTGCCAGAGCCTCTGTGGCTATCATCAGAGCCTCTGTGGCTGACGCCAGAGCCTCTGATCGAATAGGCAACCTCTTCAAGATCATACTCTGGATAAGGTTAATCCTAAAAGACTTAGTTTTCTAATGAAGATTCCAAAATAAGGTCCTAACCTGGAAATCCAAAAGTGCAGAGTTGTTACATGTCATATGACTATCATAGACATTTCTCATATGGTCATTGTACATATAGTTCTTTGTTTCATTGGATGTCATATGGCTATCATAGACATTTCTCATATAGTCATTGTACATATAGTTCTTTGACTTGAGATCAAGGAGTTTGCTCTATGTGAGTAGCATACTTTGATAACTAATTCTAATAATTTTGTAACTAGGTGATATGGTTGTATAGTATGTCATGTATCACTAGGTAGTACTAGCATGGATCAATATAAGTTCTTTTTCCTGTTGGATGACAAGAGTGATATCTTTGGGCATCTCAAGTGAATATTACTAAGGAAGTGCATGCATGCTCAGATAATCAATATAGAATATTGATATATATATATATATATATATAATCAATATATTCCTGAATCAAAAAAGGAAAAATCGGACATAACGAGGATCACACTTCCATCCCTCATGTTCGATCTGAATATCGAGGACAAAGGGACATAAATATGTATATTGATAATGTTACACAATTTGCTCATTATCTGAATCACCAGACTTTATTATTCGGGTAATGATGATGTACTGCTAGATATAACTCTTCATTTATAATTATAAATATGATTTATAACTATTGTCAACATGATAAAGTCGCAATGGGTCACACACATAAATTGTATATCTGAATGAAAAAATTAAAGTATTTAATTATTATATCTAATTTTGTGATATTTAATCTGATTAAATATAAACAGATAAGTGCTATTTGACATAGGATAAGATTGACAAGTAGTGACTTGTCAAATAAAATATATGTAAAAAAGGACAAGATGCCTTTTAGAAGATATGATATCTTCCAAAGGTATCAACCACTCTTCCAAACATGGTAATTGTAATATTTGTTTATTATAAGGATCATCATTACACTTATATAAATAGAGACCCATTGTGAGACAATGGAGATGTTGGTTGCAAGAATTAATTATCGGGATCAAATATTTCTCTTTATATTCCACAAACTTCTCTTTCTCTCCTTCAAGGAGTTCGAGACCATATCTACCACTCGGGGATGAATGAGGATCTCGTTTGGTTTTGGACGTAAACGGGATTCAAAGCATTAGTGTGGATACCATGGAGGCAACGAGTTGAATGCGTTGGCTTAGATTCAAATACAACATTAAAGGGTTTCTATTCGTTTTGGTAAAATTTGGAAACACTCATCTTACTCTATTTCGTATGGATTTAGAATACAGTTATTTTCCATTGAGTTTATGACTCCCATATTCCAACGAATACTCCATCTTCCCCATAACTCCATTAGTTAGCTTTCTTTTCTTGTATTTTATTTTATGTTTCCTTAGTTGCGACTTAATTTTAGTATTTTAGTACTTGCTTTAGTGGTTAGTGTCAAATATGGTTTTTAGTTGATCTTCATTCTTGTTCTTCATTTTAGTTGTAATGAACTTTTGTCTAGTCCACTACCCTGTCCATTTTAAACGATAGAAGTGACAATGAGTCAGGTTGGGTTAGGTTCGAGTTCAACCCATTTATTAAACAGGTTGAAAATCTTAACTCAACCCAACCCATTTAATTAAATGAGTTGAAAATTTTCAACCCAACCCAACCTGTTACCTAAAATGGGTTGACAGCGGGTTGACTTGTTTACGATTTTCTTAACCCAACCTGTTAAATAAATTGGTTGAACTTGGGTTGACCCATTTAATTTTAAAATTTTAAATAAAAAAAGAACTTGACTATTTAATTTTTTTGAATAAAACACAACACAACCACAACTACAAACAAATTGTTCAAAGTTTGAATAAAACACAACCACAAATACAAACAAATTGTTCRAAGTTTGAATAAAACACAACCACAACAAATATATTGTTCAAAATAAATTGGAAAATTTTAAATTCTAAGTAACTCAACTTTCACTTTCACCAACCCTAAGTTCACTCTCGGTATTACTTTCCTCTTGATCCTCTATCTTTCTGTCATGATTACTCCACATAGCGCCTCAAGATGTGATTTCATTTGTGCGACATAAATAAATTAAATTATTAACTTAGTTATAGCAAATACATGGTTTTATACGATAATACGAAGAGTTGGATTGGACTTTGGAGGCGATAATGGAGTATCGGACTAAAGGATTTTCTTAGGGTTTCATGATGATTAAGAATAATAGAGGCGATTGGAATTTGGACTTTCATTTCACGACGGTAGGATTTTTAATTAAGAATAAAAGAAAATTAAAAATTAGAATACTAAATATAATAATAAGAATAAAATAAAATTATATAATATTTTAAATGGGTTAGAAACAGGTTGAAAACATGTTGTAAACGGGTTGAAAAAGGGTCGAAAAATTCAACTCAGCCTAACCCATTTAAATAGGCGGGTTGACCCATTTATTTAAATGGATTGAAAATCTCAGCCCAACCTGTTAATTCTGGGTTGGGTTGGGTTGAGTTAGCGAGTTGAGTCATTTTCTGCCACCCCTAATAAAAAGTGAACACTTAAATATATTTAAGCACTTTGATGCCTTCTTTCTTATTTTTGTATGTGTTTTCTTTACTTTTAGCTTGGATTAATCACCTTTAGGTTGTGGGTATGAGCAAGCCTATGGGACAACATTGAACACTTCAATATCACCATAATTGCTAATCTTTTTGAACTTGGTTGCTCATATTGGATACTTATCAATGATGTGGATATACTGACCACTTTGATGTGTCAAAAAGTCAAATCTTAGACCCTAGATTAGGCTAGACATAGTGACAATTTCTCAAGGGTCTAGATTAGGCTATACATAGTGACAATTTCTCAAGTGATGCAAAAAAACTTGGAAGAGTTCTTATGACCATAGAGGAATTCGGGTTTTGCACAACAAGTAATGATACACATTCCTTTTGCTAGAGTATTTGTGTCACATAGGAATGTGAATTGTCTCTTATAAACGATTGGGTTTGAGGACTCAGAAACATCTATAATAATCGTGGTTACAAATTCATGGGTTGGCATAGTGGCTACTTTGTCAGGACAGCAGACACTTCATGATGATAGTGGTCACTTTGTAGGGACATTGGATACTTACTACTGGGTACTTGCGTGGCATAATAATATGTAATGCCTTTTATTACTAATTGAGCTTAGGACTTAGAAGGTTCTATAATAATCATTGTTACGAATTCATGGGTTAGCATAGTAGCCACTTTTGAGGAGAGTGGTTAGTAGTCACTCTAGAAGACAATGAAGACTTACTGTCGAGGTTACATCTTGGTAGAGAGTGACTTGTATAGTAGCAGAGTGTCCACTACATTCAACTGAATTCCGACATAAGTTATTGGGTAAGGCTTAAATATATATTCTTCTTTGTAATTGAAATCAGTGTGGTCCTTAATACTCGAAACCTTGAAGTCCAATCCTTGACGATACGATTATGATTGTTACAACTTTATCATTTGAGTGACAATCACAGTAACTAGTGTACACTTGCATTGTCCAATATGAACTGTTTGTTAGCCACTGCAATTATGCACAGGCTCACGTACTCCAAGATCCCACTTTCCAGAGGGATATGCGACCATGGTCCTGACCCAGGTCACTTGCCTAGGCGGATGGGTGATCTGACTTGAAAATCTATATGTTACAAAAGTAAATAGTTTGTTTTATTTGTGTTGTTGAAATGGAAGAGAATGATGAAAAAGGAAAACAAATTAACTTCTTAAATATGAGATAAAGGAAAGGAAATATATCATTCTTATAAATATACTACCTTCACTTGTTTTTCTCACTTTTTGTAATTGATAAGTAGATGTGTGATTTTTAAGGGGTATTATCTCTTTCATTCTCTTCCTCCCATATTTGGGAGGAAAATAATCGTTTATTTTCCTTCATTTTTTTCTTTCCCTCTTAAAAACAAGATATTTTTCTTTTCCCCTCAGTTTCCCTCTTTTCCCTTCATAAAGAAAGTCTCGAGAAATAACATAAACATCTGACTAAACAAATACAAATCACAACACCATACCCTTTTTTCACTCTGATAGTTTCGTAGATTGCCTCAACATAGAGAAAATGAAATTATTTGTATACTATTGAATTTAATCTGAAGTTAAGTGAAACTACATATTACATGTAGAGAAAGATACCACATTCAATTTATTGCTATATAACATGGAAAAACCATCACTCTTATTTGTTCTCTCGAGTTGCTCGTCAAATTGAAGAATTGAGAGTTGGCGTTACCGACAGAGGAACTTTTTTTGTTGCAGTAGCTCGTCATTCTCTGTCATGTCTACATCTTTAGGACTTAATCCAGAAGGAAGTTGCCAATTGAAGTAATATAGCATTTGAGCAAGAGCAAACTCAATAGAAATCAAACCAAAAGTAATCCCAGGACACATCCGCCTCCCTGCTCCAAAAGGAACAAACTCAAAGTTTGTGCCCATGAAGTCAACTGAAGACTTGTCAAATCTCTCTGGCTTGAAGCTTTCTGCATCATCCCAGTATTCAGGATCGACTGCACATGCAAAAGCATTGACAATCACTTTTGTTTTTAATGGTATATCGTAACCATCAATCTGACACTGCTCTATACATTCCCTTGGAAGTAACAAAGGGAGAGGAGGATGAAGCCTCAGAGTTTCTTTGATTATGAGTTTAAGGTAAACCAAATCTTCTAAGTCGGCCTCGACGATTGTTTTTTTTCCCTTGAATGTTTCTCTCACTTCTTTTTGTGCCTTCTCCATCACATTCGGGTTTTTCATCATTTCGGACATTGCCCATTCTATTGTCATTGCACTTGTATCAGTGCCTCCCGTAAACATATTCTGTATCAATAAGATTTTTTTTAAAAGGTTAGAAAAGTGATCAGAATTGAACTTTTTTTCATGAGTAACATTTAGTGCATACACTGTAAGGGGTGCAATCCCTTTAACTCCCACCATATGGTGACGTCTAACGATCTCGGCTCAAGCTAGATTACACGAGCGTGCATTCAGCACCTCCTAACCAATATTCTAGTTTAAAGAACAATCCCTTACGAATCAAATTACACAAAATAGCTTGAGGATTCACTAAAATAACCAAAAAGATTACGTTTGCATAAATATCACACATTTTCTAATTTTATTCTTATTGATTTATATATGAAAAGCTAAAATTCTTCTTAGATCATGAAACTTGATAAAAACCCGTGGTGTTAGAAAGATATCTAGATTTAAAAAAGATACAAATATTCTATATGAAAATTGAGGGTTAAGTTCATGTGAGACCAGTCTGTTTTCGTGAGACCCGTGAAACCACATTTTTACACTTGAAACTTCACAGCAAAAACACTGTGAACGTAAAAAAAATGCGTACATTCACAGCAAAAACACTGTGAAGGTTATTTTCACAGCATTTTAATGTGAAGTTTCAAATGTAAAAAAGTGGCCTCACGGGTCTCACGAAAACAKGTTGGTCTCACATGATCCCAAGTCTGAAAATTGATAATTGATTTATATATAATTTAATAAAATATTAAAATGTTGACAAAATACTTGAAAGATCAATTATAACAAACAAATATTAACTTATTTAATYATACATAGACACGTRTAYATCTGTAAACATCAAACAAATAGATATTATTTCATATTTTAATTTTTCATAATTAAGTCATGAATCATGCTTTTCTAAACCGGTCTTTATTATATCAAATTTTGACTCGAATTTTTTAGTCGTTCAGGACTGTTTATCAAAAAAATCGATAAAAGAATAAAAACAACTCTTAATTTAACTGAAATTTTCAAACGATTGTCAGAAAAAGAGATCAAATCTAAATAGTTTTGTAAACCACGATTATCATCTTGTAATTTAAAATTTACAGGGACAAAAAATGCTTTTTTTTTGTCAAACCACAACAAACTAACTTGAGTTTAATATAAAAATAAATCAAGAAAATTATGGCAACAAAATAAATTAATTGAATACCAAATTTTTTTTTCAGGACTGTTTGTTTTTTTAATTTTTCACTTAATCTCCTTTTATGTCTGAATCGGTCAGACATAAGAACTTTCAGATCGTTTGTTTTTTTTTTTTTTTTTTCAAATTAAGAGCTGAATTCGTTTATTTTCCTCTGAATTTTTAAGTGGTAACCTTAGCACTTAAAACCTCTTATTTCTATCGCCTCCTTACGTCGATTGTCTCAGTTTACAAAAACAAACAGTTTTACTGATTCAGATTTCAGACTTCAGACGTAAAAACAAACAGTCTGACTGATTCAAATTTCAGACTTCAGCACCACCTCTTAAAATTCAGAAGTGAATTCAGAATTCAGACTTCAGCACCTCTTAAAAAACAAACGCTACCTTAATAAATGAAAAATTGGAAAACCACGAAGAAGAGGATGAAAAACCATATGAATAATGATGTCAAATTAACGAGAAAATATGATTGTTTTTTGGTGTGATTTGTTTCGTTTGAACTTTGATCATATTTTGTATTTTTTTGACCGTAGGGGTGGAAGATTTTATAATTCAAAAAGGAGGTTTTTGKTCAATGATRMAAATGAGTATATTATGACTAATATGAGCAAATTGCAAAATTATTCAACAATTATATCAAARTAGATAACAACACAATGTTTGCTTGATGAATAGATATATTTTATGAGAATATATGTAGGAGACAAATTGATATCTATAATGACAAAACAATTCTCATAATACACCTCATGATTACAATTAATATTTTCACATATTTTTTTATGATTTTGAACCAATTATAAAGTTTGATATAATAAAAGATTGATATATAAGGTTTATTATATATATATATATATATATATATATATGTGTGTGTGTGTGTGTGTAGAGTTTGTTTCAAATACAACACGTCCTATTTGTACAACCAATGCAACCCAATAAATTGAGATATTTATGAAAATGATGAGAGTTTATTTATTATGAAAAGGATGGTGTCTGATTGGGTTGAGCTTGACTCCAAATGTCAAAAGTACCAGAAGGTCTCAAGTTCAAATCCAAGGAGAAATGAATATCCCCTTGTGGCCATGAAGATTCAAATGTGGTGACTCCGGACAATCTGCAAAGCAGATGGTCTTCCTGGGATTAGTCAGCTCGCATAACGGGTTGGATATCCAGGTTAACAAAAAAAAAATCTTTATATTTTAGATAATTTAATTAAAAAAGAAATGTGTAATCTATTTTTTTATTTAAAAATAGAATGGTTAAATTTTTTAAAAAGAATTGATTAGTGATTTATTTTAACAAAAGTTTCAAAATGCTCCTTTTAAGTTTTTTATGTTCTTTAAACATTTACTATTTTATCTCTATTGTTATATATGATTTGAAGATTTTGACCATTGAAAAATCTCATCTAATGCATAAAATCCCTTCTCACTTTTTCAGTATTTATAGCCTTCTCATTTGAACCCTTTCTTATAAACATCTATATATAGGGTCAGGTTCAGGAGAAAATACTAAATAAATGAAAAATTGGAAAACCACGAAGAAGAGGATGAAAAACCATATGAATAATGATGTCAAATTAACGAGAAAATATGATTGATTGTTTTTTGGTGTAATTTATTTCGTTTGAACTTTGATCATATTTTGTATTTTTTTTACCATTTATAATGTAAAACTAAAGTTGTAACAACCTCTTTAATCACATCAATTGGATCAATTAATCTAACGGTTAATGGAGTGTTTTTCGGTTTTCCCCTGAACCTCCGTCTCTCTCTCTCTCTCTCTCTCTCTCTATATATATATATATATATATATATATATATAAGGGTTCAAAGTAAAACCTTGAATAAATGAAAAACTAAAAAACAACTTATCAACCCTTAAATTAGATGATTTGATGGATATGATTAAACGAGTGGTTACAACATTTTTTTTAAAAACCTCACCCCCCATTTTTTATTTGAAAAATAAACAAAATTTGGGCAAATTCAATTACACCAAATAAACAATCATATTTTCTCGTTAATTTGACATCCATATTGATATATATTTTTTATCCGTTTTTTGATATCCCATTTATATAGAGTTTTCCCCAAAACTTGACCATATATATAGAGGATGAATCAAATGCAAACTAAGCCATGTGTACAAAACGTGCAAACCTTATTCAACCAATCATAATATTTTTTCACTTTTTTAATTATGATAATTGATTATTCATTTTTATTGTAGAGGACATTAATTATGGACATTATCATTTTCATCATATTAATTTTATAAAACAAATTTCACCAAAATGAGAAATACATGAAACACCTTTTTTTCCATGAAAATAAAAATATATGAAACAATTTTATCAGATTAAACAATTTCATGAAACAATTTATTAAATTAAACCATGAATTGACTGTTGTTCAAACGATTTGGTTTGCATTTGATCCCTTCCCTATATATAATGCAATCTCTTTCAAATGTTGCAACTAATGTAACCCAATGAATCCTAATTGTAGATCACCCCCTTTTAAGGAGTATTTTCGTTTTTTTTTAAATGTGATCCCCTTATCTCCAACCACAATTGTCTTATCTTCAACCATTGATTGTTTAATTGTATGGTGTAGATGAAGTTGCATTGGTTGCAACATTTAAGGCAGTTGTAAAGGTTAAAACCGATACAATTCCATCTACACTGCACATCAGTTTGATCAACGCCTAGGAAGGAACTGGTGGCATTTTTGACATTATATTGTGATTAGAAGGACACGTGTGGAATAAATTGGAAAATATAGGAATTCAACTATTTCTTTTTCGAAAGGAAACACACGCCAGGAGAAATCACCGGAACATAGTTGGCAATTGCTACTATTTTATCATGAAAATCATATCATAGATTGTGATCCATGATTGAAATAGTGTAATTATGGCTTCAAAAACTTTCATTGTGAAATCAACTAAGAGTCGAGAAAGAAAATGGCCGAAAACATCCAAAATTTTCGACGAAGAGGTTAGGGTTTTACAGTGGCGGATACAAGGTAAAGCCATAGGGGGCACAGGCCCCCAACAAACCAATATAAAGCCCACAAGAAAGAACATTATTTATAGTTTTAAATATATTTTTTAAGCTAAAATTACAAATAGCCCCCAATAATTAAAAGACAGATCTCCATATTTAATCTCTACCATTTCATTTACAACTTTTATTTCATTTCATTTCAAAGAGTTACCTATATAAAAATCAATTAAATTCTAATGTCCTTAATTTCTAAGTCTTAACTCATTGAAAGTCATTTTATTTGTCTTGTTTTATTTGTTATAATTCTAATAATTTGATCCATCACTATTTTTTTATTTTTTTTCCAACTTTCTTTTTGTATTTTATTTTTTATAGTAAAAATTAATCAAAAAAAATGGAAAAAGTTATATTTATTTGATTAACCTGAATAGTTTAAGCCGACAACGAATAACCCAAAATCGTCTTGGTTCAAATGAGTTATTCAGTTTCAGAATTTTTTTGACACCCCCACGTCCCCAACTCCCTAAGTTTGCTCTCAATAATAAAATTTTCTGAATCCGCCACTGAGGTTTTAAAATGTTCATCGTCATTATATAAGAAATTGTAGAGGTTGTTAAATTTGAAAATTTATTTCAGTTCGAAAACCCAGTGCACGGATCTTGATGAAGACTACTTTCACAAACACAACCAACAATCCATTATGTTTGGATGAAGAAGCCCCAATTCAAGTAATAACCAAAGGTATGATCTTTATATGATCATACGCAATGTAAAAGATATGCAATGTATGCAGTCTCGACACCTTCAACGTACAGTCTCATATTTAAAAAATGTATTTCATATATTCATATTCATATTCATATTCATATTCAACCCGTATTTTCACATCATCGTCAACATGAGGGATCCAAAATTTCGTGCCACTAAGAGATTCTAGATTCTCTTCAAATAACAGATTAATATGTTA